TACCGTCCCGTCGGAGGACTAGAAGTTCACAGTCCACCGGGGGAGCCCTTCAACCGCTCCCCTCCCCCAGGCCCCCGTTCCTGGAGACCTTTCCTGGCGTGCCCAATAAACACCTGCCCCCTGACTGAGTGTGCTCTGTGGGGGTGCTCTGGCTGGTGGCCACAGGGGGCCAGGGCTGCCGGGGGCAGAGAGGTGGGGACCCTCACGTCCACACAGTGGGGGGAGGCCGCTAGGGGTTCCCCAGGGTGCCAGGATGGCGGCACAGGATGCCGGGAGGCGACGGGGCCAGACTCCATGGCCACGTCGTAGGGTCGGGAGCAAGTCTCATGGGGGCAGAGGCAGCTAGTAGACAGAGCCTAGGTCGGTCCCTTGCTTCCCAGCGGGACCCAGCTTAGAGACCCCTTCTGGCCACATGCTTGTGTCTCTGTTAAATGACGGTGGCCGAGACCCCGGGCGCAGCATGGACGGTCACCGACCGCACCTCACTCCTCCCGGCGTCGTCAAAGCCTGGCAGGTGCCCACCCACAGCCCCTGGGGTGGTCACCGAGGTGTCCCAGGTTCCCCTGCCCTGGAGCCCAGCCGTGGGGAGCACCCTGCCCCACAGCAGCCAAGCCCCCGTCCTCCCCGGGGCCACCGCCTGAGCCACACATCAAGCCCACCGTGTCCCAGGCCAGGGGTCCCTGGAGGAGGGGTCTCAGGGACAGGCTTGCTGTGCCGCACCTGCACCAGCCTGGACGGAGGGGACCTTCGTCCCATCAGAAGAGGGGGCCCCCACCCATGCTGCTGGAATGAGGCCTCCAGGCCACACCCCAGCACCCAGGGGGCCTCCCCACCCCTCGGGGGCCCACCCTAGCCTCCTCCATCAGAAGGCCACGCTCCCACCTGCATCCGCCCAGGGCCGCTTCCTTCCAGCTCATTCTTCCAGCAAGAGCCAACAGTGGAGTCGCCTCCTCACTCCCACCCCACCCCTGCCATCGGGCGGCTGCCCTCTCAGCGGCCCCCCGGGCCCCCGGCTGTTCCCGTGTCCCGCCTCTGCGTCCTTTCTGCCGCTAGCCCTCAGCCTGGGGCCGAGGCCAGGCCCAGCCTGCGACGCCTGTGCGGATCACAGACTGGGCGGGGGTGCCCCGCCTCCCTGCTCCTCCTTGCTCTAGTAAAGTCTCTCACCCTGAAGCCCCCAGCCCTGCCTCCCGCTTTCCTCTAGGACAGGCCCAGGGCGTCTCGCCCCCATCGCCAGCTTTCAAAATCCCTGCCAGCACACTGAGGGGAGGGGAGGGGAGTGATGTGGGCAAAGGGACCTGTCCCATCACCCTCTGAGCAAGAGGCGTGGACCTCAGGACCGCCGCCCTGGCTGTGAGCAGGCCTGGGGGCCCCTTTCCTGCCGTGAGCACCCCGCTGTGCCCAGGGGATGGGCTGGGGGACAGCCGGGCCTGCTGGGGGATGACAAGGTGTCCTGGCTGTCAAGGGACCGACGGCAGGCACGGAACGGCACCGAGCTGGTTTCCGGCTCCCTGAGGTGTGTGACACGGGGGACAGTGAGGCCGGGCCAGTCAAGCAGGGGTCTCGGGAGGACCTCCTCTGCCTCCACTGGGTACCTACGGTGGGGGACGGAGAACATGGCCCTCCTGCCAAGATCGGATGGGAGCCTGGGGGCGAAGGGGGGCCCCGGGACTGTGACCCCTCCCCAGCAGCAGAGCCCCCGGCCCAGCCCCCCACCCCCCCGGGGCTCTGGGGCAGGATCTGCGTATCCTCAGGGTTACACTGCTGTGGGTTACACACAACCACCAAGCAGCACCGAGCACCCTGACCAAGACGCCAGCTCACAGTGACGACCCCCCCCCCCATTCACAGTGACCCCCGGTGACCAGGAGATCCAAGCAGGGGAGGGGCAGCGGGCAGGGCAGGAGGAGGGGCGGTGGGGAGGGCAGGAGGACAGAGAGGAGAGAGGGCTGCCGGAGAGACAGGGCTCAGAGAGGGTGGGACGACAGTAACGGACAGTCAGCTCTCAGCCCAAAGGCTGATGGGCACCAAACCCCAGCTGTGGGCACAGTCCCTCCAAAATGTCCCCATCCAAAGTGCTCGGCCTGAGGGTGGCTGGGGTCCTGCTGAGCCGTGTCCCTTCTGTGTGTCCTACTTGCAGGCACACAGGCCCTCCCAGCAGGGGTGGTGAGGAGGGAAGCAGGTCACCTTGAGAGCTGGAGGGCAGGTTGTGCCGAGCGCTGCCCCCTCCCCCAAATCCAGAAAACAAGCCCGGAATCACCAGCCTGTAATCACCAGCCTAACGGTTTTCCGATCCTCCTCTTGAACACGTGCAACGGCAATCACCACCACCAAGGGCTGGAGAGGAGGAGGGTGGGGACAAAAGCTGTTCCCTGAAACCTGAGGCTCCTTCCAGCCCCAGCCAAGCCCCCACCAGGCCGTGCGGCAGCCCTGCTCTCCTCCAGCTCACCGGGGGTCCGTGCCAGCGGGCCCCACCTGCCACTCCCCCGGGTGTCACCGTCCATCGGAGGGAGGCCAGGCCCCAGCCAACTCAGGGACGGGGCTCTATGCCCACACTGCCGGGGCCTGCAGGGCAGAGGCCGTGGGATCACACGGCCAGGGCAGAGTTGAATGCTGGTTCCAGGCCCCTCTGGTCACACTGGGGGCGCTGGGAGCAAGTCCACGAGCCCGACTGGGCCTCAGGATCATTCTCGACAGTGGCTCCAGGGCCCCCCCGCCAACAGGCCCAAGATGGGGAGGCTGCCACCCGAGACAGGGCCCCATCCTCCCAGGCAAGGCCTGGCGGTGGGGCAGCGTATCATCTCTGTTCCCGGCACCTCAGTCGAACTCCCGATCTCCCTTGTTGGTGCCGACCTGAGGTCAGCACAGGGCACGGCTGGGCCACCCAGGGCTCCGGGCAGGACTGTTCTAGGTCAGCCTGCCCAGCATCACCTGGGGTTTTCCATGGAGCCTGCACCTAGCCCCCGCGGAGACCGACCTGCTCCCAGGTGGGAGGGGCGGGGCTCAACAATTCTACCCCAGGGGCCCCCTCTGGGCTCAGGGAACGGGAGACACAGGGGCAGGGCCCGGGTGCTTGCTTCACCCTGACTCCGGCAGAGTCAGGCAGCCGGCAGAGTCACCGGGGCTGTGCTCAGGGTGCAGAGGGTGAGGACAGGGCACCCACAGTGCCCCACCCCATGCTGCATGCATACAAACACACATGTACACACGCACGCGACAACCAGGGAGGTCCTGAGGACTGTGCCCTGGGGCAACGGCTCCCCAGCCGTGGTCCCTTCCAGCTCGCCTCCATCCTACGCCAGCGCTCATCACCGTCGTCTGCGGCCACTCACGGACAGAACGAATGGAACTTTCCAGCCGCAGAGACAAAGACACACGCAGGGGTGAGGCAAACAGCCTGGACAGAGGGCTCGAGACCACGGGAGAACCCACCCTCCCAGACGGTAGACGGCCCTGAGGCCCCTGAGCACTCTCCACGGGGGGCCTGGAGCCCAGCGTCTCCGGAAGGAGGTGAGCAGGAGCAGTGCGGTGAGACCTCAGCCAGCTTGGCTCAGAGACCGGCACCCGCCTTTGCCGTGGCTCATGGTCACGCCGGGTAGGGTCCGCCGCACGAGACCACGGGGGCCCGAGACGCCCCTCCCAGTAACCCAGCCGTTCCCCGGGCCCCAGAGGTCAGGGGCAGCTGGGACGGCGCTGGGACCGGCCAGGTGACCTCTGCACCAGGCCCCCCAACGCCCCGCCCCGTGTGAGGAGTGCAGAGGTCCCCACCTCGAAGACGGAAGCCGGCCCTTTCCTCAGGGCGCCCTGGCCAGGGCAGAGGGCACTCACAGGCGTGACAAGTGGGGTCCCCGCCCACCTCTCCGGGGAGCAGGCCCGGAGCACAGAAGTCCCAGTCCTCAGGAGCCCTCCTCAGACTGCAGGGCTATTCAGGGACTTCTCAAGGCCAAGACCGTCGCAGGAGCAAAGCCCCAGGCAGGTGCCCGCGCTCTGAGTGCAAGTGGTGCCATCTGCCCAGTGAATCGCACCGATTACAGAGAGGCGAAGCTACAGGAGCTCTGGTTTCCGGAGAAGCACCGCCTTTAATACGCAGCCGGCCCTGCCGCCCCCCGAACCCGGGATGAGCCACCCGGCACGCGACACGGGCACGTGTGGCACTGACCCCCTCCCCACCGCCTAGCAGGGAAAGAAGTCGGGGAAGATGCTGTCCACCTCATCCCGCAGGGCCAGGCTGGGGCAGCCGGCGTCCGAGCCCCAGGGTTCCAGGGGGCCGTCTGGGAGCTCCTGGGAGCCGGGCCCGATGTCTGTCAGGAAGCTGGGCTCTGCCCTGTCCAGCAGGCTGCTCCTGGCCATGCTCCGAGAAGGGACGCTGGCGCCTCTGCCCTCCAGAGACCCTGGAAACGTCAGAGACGGGACACGTCAGCCTGGGTACCTGGGGTGCACGTGGCAAGGTCAAGGTGCGGAGAGGCCCAGCTCTGCCCGTCTGTCCTGCCCGACTTGGAAGCCCTTGGCGCCCGAGGGCCGTGTGGGGTAAGTGGGCCCACACACGCTGGTCCCCCCTGAGACCCGGCAGAACCCACCAGCCCAGAACAAGGAAGGCGTCTCCCACGACGCTGAATCTTACGGACTCATTCCACGTCCAGACACCTTTGTGGGGACGTCGCGTGCAGAAAAGGCACAGATCCCGAATCGCGGGTAACACACAACCAGCCCCACGTGCCACGCGCACGCACACGGTCCACATGCATGCTCGCCACCTTACGCTCCCCACCCCAGCGACCCCGACAACCACCAGCAAGGAGCAAGAGACAAATACTGGGACCCCGATACTGCCCCGCACACCGAGCTCGAGCACGTCTCCTCTTAATCCCAGCCACCTGCCCAGCCCCTCGTCCAGACCGCCTGAGACCTCGAGGCCTGTCCCTGATCAGGGCAAGTGGTGGCCCAGGTGGCGCATCCCCACTCACCCAGCCACCAGTCGGGACTGGCGCTCAGCAGGAAGGACGCCCCGTCTTCCACATCACATCCGGACGCAGACCTGAACGAGGCCGGAAGAACGCACCCTGACCGAATGGTCCCAGGTGGACCCGGTCCTCCAGCCTCGAGACAAAGGTGTGTGCCCTCAAAGGCGGCTTCAGGCTTAAGATGAACTGGGTGCCCCCCCTTCCCCGCCAGACCCCGAGCCTGCACGCTGGGGACAGACTGGCCCACCCCGCTGCCTCTGCTGGTTTCTCTCCAGCCTCTGCCACGCTCCCTTCCCACGCCCCAGCTGGTGCACGCTCAACAAAACACAAACTCGTTTACTATCAGCCGAAACACAGACGGACTGGGAACACGACAACGTTTTCGGAAATGCATCAGAGAGCCACACGGCAGCGTCTGGCTCAAAACAGGCCTGGGCTGGCAGCTGTGGCCCCGGCAGACAGAGCGGGAGGGGTGCGAACTTCCCAGGGGCAGGGGCGGGCAGAGCGCGGGCAGGGCTAGGAGGCGGTGTGTGGGGCTGGTGCGCACGCCCACCAGGGCACCCACCTGGTGTCCAGTGTCATGGAAGAGTCGGCCCCCTCCATCAGGGGCCCAGCCTGGCCCCGGCAGCTCTGAGCCTCTTTGCTCACCAGAGGGGAGGGTGGCTGCCAGGAGCAGGGAGGCCAGGGTGGAGGCGACCTCAGGGCCTTGGAGAGACTTGGGTCTGGGGGCCGGGTCACCAGGCTGCAAGGCTCTACAAGAGAGGGCAGGTGTATGCTGGCCTTCCCCGTGTGGGCGCAGCCCTACCCTAAAGGCCCCAGCCCCCACCCACTGCACCCTGCACAGGGACACAAGGAGCTCGGGAGCAGGAGGCAGACAGACCCCCAAGGACAGACGCCCAGGGCCGCGGGGCTATGCACCTGGGGCCAGGGGAGCTCCTAGGAGCAGACACCGCTGACCTCAGGCCAGGCCCTTGGAGCTCAGATCTGGGACCCTACCCCCACCTGCCCGCAATCCTTGATCCCGGCCTCCACCCTCAGACCTAGCCCCCTTGCCGCGTCACCTCTGCACCCTCACGCCCTGCCTGTGGCCCTGGCTCTGCCGCCAGCCCTGTTCACAGCAAGCCCCCTCCCCTCCTCGACAGGCACGTTCCGGGAACCGGAAGACACAGCCTCGCCTCCTGCGGCACTCGGGGACTCTGGCACAGGGCAATCACCAGCACCCGTGTCCAAGAAGCGACAAATAGCTGGGGTGCGGGGTCCAGCACGAGAGAGACATCATCAGAGGTGCCTGCAGGCTTGGCCGGCACAGCACCAGAGAACAAAGGCCCCGTGCAAGGCCGATGACTCTCACTCCATACAGAAAAAAACATCGAAA